GAGATCCCACATTGGTTGGAGAGAGTAACGAAATATTCTTATAAGGGTGTGGAAACCTCCCTCTAATAGAAGCGTTTCAAAATTGTGAGGCTGACGACGATACGTAAGGAACTAAAACGGATAATATCTACCAACGGTGAGGGTGAGGTTGGGGCAATGTTTAGTTTGAATCAATCTCTCTCCGGTTTATTTTGCAGGATGGATTAAGTGATGAAGCTGAAAAGAATGGTGAAGTAAATGGTGAGTTATCAAGTTCCGAGAGCAGCTGTGGACTTGACAGTCCAATAGAAAATGGGATTACGAACAACATCCATCAGCAACCTAATGGCTTCCTTTCACCATTAAGCCACGCCCCGGTCTGTCGCAAATCAACTACTCATGAAGAGGATCAGACATTGGCATGGAAGTGGTCGATTCAATCTGATCATATCTTAACAACGGACGATCTGCGGGCTGTCTTAGAAGAAATGAGACAAGAGCTGAATTATGAGAAAGACTTGAATGCGAATCTCCGGTTACAGCTACAGAAGACGCAGGAATCAAACACCGAGTTGATATTAGCAGTACAAGATCTCGAGGAGATACTGGACGAGAAGAACTGCGAAATATCAGATCTTTATACCGAGTTAAATTCCAAGAAGGCTGAATATTCTGATGCTTTAGAAGCAATCAGGGAGCTTGAATCCCATGGCAGAAGTTTGGAGGAAGAAGTTGAGAAGCAGGGGGAAGATTTCGAAGCGGAGTTAGAGGCAATGATCCTGTCCAAGGTTGAGCAAGAGCAAAGGGCAATCCGAGCTGAAGAAGGTTTGAGAAAATTGAGGTCGAGAAATGCTCGTACTGCAGAAAGGGTTCAGGGGGAATTTGGAAGAGTGTCGAAGCAGATGGTATGTGCATTTGAGGCAAATGAGAAGGTGGCTATGAAAGCGGTGGCGGAAGCGAGTGAGGTTCGGTCACAGAGAAGTCGCTTGGAGGAAGCTCTCCAGAATGCAAATGAAGAGATACGGTCGGTGAGAGAGAGTTATGAGGAAAGGTTGGAAACAAGGGAAAGTGAAGTGAAGGATATGCAGGAGAGATATTCAGAGATAAGTCTTAGATTTGCAGAGGTGGAAGGTGAAAGGCAGCGGCTAGTAATGACTGTGCGCAACCTCAGGAACGCAAAGAGAAATTAATACCCATATTATATAATGTATAAATTCCATGTCTTTTTTTACTCTCTTTCTTTCTTTCCGGTTTCTTCTTAAAACTTTTAAAATTAAGGAAAGTTTTCGCACCTTTATAAAAAAATATTTCGTTTTCATAATCTACTTCTTTTGGAGTCATCTATTTGTTTCCTCGTAAAAGAAAGTTTTTTAAACTTCGTGTGAATTTATTCAAATTTTTGTATTTGAATTTTTAATCGTGTGACTACTAAATTATAGATCTATTTTATTTTTCAAAACTCAACTTACTAAATAAAAAATTAAAAGCATTCAATTAAAAATTTAAACTTTTTAAGTAGGTAAATAATCTATTAACATAAAATTAAAATTAAAAATCTTATTAATCATTGTTAAATGATTATAGTTTTTTTTTTCTTTTGATATTTTTCAAATTAAACTCTAAAATATTCTAAAATTATTGTGATCTCATTAAAGAAAAGATATGGAAAAAAAAGGGTGTAATTTTGATATAATCATTTGGGCTGTATGTTGAGTGTTGAGAAGAAGGGTCATAACATTTTGGGCTCTTATATCTTCAAATTTACGGATGAATAATAGAAAAGAATTACAACAATTATGTGTAAATCTTAAAATATTTTATTTTATTAATCTATTTCTAATTCACCATTTTCAGGTGGGGTTTCCTTAATTACATGCTCATTATTTTCATTTAATTTTACTCCTATTTTTTTAGAACGTGACAAAGATTTCTTACCGACCATTTATGCACTCAATTTACTACTAGATATGGTAAAAAAAAAAAAAAAAGAAATTTGTTTTAAGTTTAAGTAAAAATTGTTTCAAACATAGTTAGTTTTTTTTTTTTTTTTTTTTTTT